TATACAGCTGACCTGACGTGTGTCATGTGTCCCGCGCCCCTCTGCCTCTCCAAAGCACCTAATATGAAGAACCATGTGCGTTTTCTCATTTATGCATGGATGTGTACTGAGCTATCAAAATGAAGGCATCACAGTTGATGTTTTCATAAAAAGCTAATTGTAATGTCTTTAACCCCAACTTTACCTGTTGTTGTTGTTGTTGTTGTTTTTGTTGTTTTACTTTTTTTTTTTTTTGCAGTTTTAAGATGAAAAAATATTATAAACTGATTCTCCAAATGAGGGCATCCTCAAATGTCCTCAAAGGGAGGTTTTATCATATTTAAATAACTGCTGTAGACACACTTGTCTCCAAAGAATAGCTAAATAAACCACAACACACACACACACACACACACACACTTATTCATACATGGAAAATGAGGACACCGGGACAGATATGTGTTTGTAAATGACTATCACTCTAGAGATTTACCTCACATGCTCTCTATCTCTTCCATTAACTCACTCGCTCTCTTTCTCCTTTTCTGTCTCTCCTCTGTGTCTCCGCTGTGTCTATAAAGACTTCGTACTTCAAACAAGATGCAACTAATGTCCTACATCCTAAATGAAATAAAATTAAAGAAGACAAGTGAAGAAAAAAAATTAGTTCCTGAGGGACAAAACCAACTAAGTAGATGAAAGGATGAGAAAATGAGATGTAATGTTAAACAATTTGTACACAGACTTTATCAAAGCATGCTGAGGTACACACTCACAATGTCTGTTTGTGTGTGTGTATTTGATACGATAAGAAATAATATAGGGCTGTGATAGTTTTTACTTTTAAGTAGTGTTCCTGTAGTTCTGTCAGTACAGCATGGTGCTCTACTTACTTCCAGGTTCCCCCTTAATACATTTCTAAAGTTACGTTTCTTAAATCATTTAGAAAAAAAAGTCTTTAATGCTGCTCACAAAGGCTGCATTTATTTGATCATAATACAGTAAAAATAGTCATATTTAGAAGCATTATTACAGTTTAAAATAACTGATTTCTATTTTAATACATGTAATTTATTCATGTGATGGCAAAGCTGAATTTTCAGTCTTTAGTGTCACATGATCCTTCTGAAATCATTCTAATATGCTGATTTGGTTAGGTGCTCAAGAAATATTTCTCATTATTAGCAATGTTAAAAACAGTTATCTGTGTGTGTGTGTGTGTGTGTGTGTGTGTGTATGTGTGTATTCGTAAAATAAAATAAAATAAATAAATAAAAAGTTTTATTGCATTTGTTTAATGAGGTTAGTAATACATTTCTAAGTAATTAGTATAGCTGCTAATAATTAAGGTTGGATACTTCTTAATTGTAAAACTGAAACAAGAATTTTTTGTAAATCTGCTTTGAAATAACATCTTTTAGAAAATGTGCTATACATATACTTGCATTGAATTGAATATGGGGCTTGTTTATTTCACTCCCCTCTCTAGTACTGCAATAAAGATTGAGTGATATATGAGCACATTACTCTCTCTGCTTCCATCTCACAGGTGCCGCTTCATCATCTGCGTTTGCACAGGAGGTGTGTGCATGTGCGTGTGTGGCAAGATATTATGAAAGATAGAAAGAGAGTGATGATTCTTTCTATATTTAATCTGTGAAAGAATATTAGTAGATCTTAACGTGACTATAGCCGCAAAACATAGGGACGTGTTATAGTAATGAAGTGTGTGTGTGTGTGTGTGTGTGTGTGTGTGTTTGTTCTGCTGACCCATATGTTGTCCAGACCAAACAGTAAATGGAGAATGATATAGATTACACTTTTGTGACCACTCAAAACAATGGCGGAAAGAAAATATTGACTAGTTGAAACTACAACAGATCAGCTTTCAACTGCAAGCGTGCACATACAGCCACACATACAAGTGTTTGCGTGTGCTTTTGTTAGGATCAATTTGGTAAAGAAAGATCAAACTGCTCTGAATCATTTAGACTCTCTCCCAGCGAGAAAAAGAACCGAGTGTGAGTGTGTGTGACAATACTCATAAAGCCTAAGACTGAAAGTGGCTGAGCTGCAGTGTGTGTTTGTCTCTACGTGTGTTCTGAGGGAGGGAGGGATTGCAGCAGCTGATGAATGATAGTAGAGGCGTTATTCATCTGTTCATTCATTTATTCATTCTGTCGCTATGATTCCGGCCTCAAGTGCTTGATCAGACCTCAAAGGAACAGAGAGAAGAATAGTCTGATTACCTCACACGCTCACACATACATTAGCAGACACGTGTTTTCAACAACACAACACTGCCATGCAAATTCCAAAACAGCTCCACCTTTTGAAAAACTAGTTGTGTGTCTTTGCATCAATCTATATGTGTGCATGTGGGTCTGGTTTTGTCTACATTGTGTAAATCAAATGTCCCTACATGTATAGCACAAACTATTTAAAATAGAGTCAATTGTCTCGACGAGGAAACAACTTAATAAACCCACTAAATAATGTATGTATGAAAATGTTAACATGCAGAAAGGTGTCCATAAGGGTTAGGTTTAAGGTTAGAGGAAAGAAAATATCATTAGCTCAGTGTGAAAACAATAGAAGTCAATAAAATGTTCCAACCATAATAGAATAACAAATGTGTGTGTGCATTTCCCTCATATATAGTGTTACATAATGTATGAAACAGTTAGCTAACCTCAGACAAACCCACATTAAGGATTCATTAAACAATGGCAAGTCAGCTTTCCATTTAGTGTCAGATGTTTTGTGATCGATTGATGTTAAGTGATTGACTGCTGGTATAAGCAGTGCTGGACTGATGGAAGTTTATTACATCACCTAAGGTGAAATCAGTATTCCTTTACATGCTGAAGATTCATTAGATAAAAAAAACACTTAAAGACATCTATTGAGAGTCATGTTTGACAAAATACTAAATAAGAAAACAATTTGACTCAAGCTAAAGATGCCTGATTAATTGTCATTGTATGAGGAAAGTGTTGTGATTGACTAGATTGCATGAACATGTTTTTTCTCAGAACCATAGCATAGAATGCAATTTTTAGTATGTGTGCGTAGAAACAAAATACATACACTTAAGTGTCCTGCACACACTCCCTTACATGCCCTCTGTGCCACAACCCACATAACCTCTCACAGACAAGAGAAGGATGTGCCCTTGATGAGGGGCTACCTGCAGTTAAGGTTAATGAGCACAGCAGAGAGTAGTGCTTACTCAAGTCTAACACACACACACACACACACACACACACACACAAATGTGCACACTTTAAGCTCCCAATCTCAGCATGCCTTCATGACACACATGGTTTTTGTGGGTGGGTGGGTGTTTATGTGGTAATGGGACTGTAATATTCTTCCCTGATTTGTCAATATGCTTTATATCAACTGTTAATTTTTAGAAGCCATCTCTTTATTAATAGTAAATCTCAGGGTCTGAGTCTTTAAAGCTCATAATGCAGCCTATTGATTCCTGACCATTTATTTTGCATTAAAGAGAGAGACTGGGAGGAATGTATACAGTTCTAAAATGACCAAGAACATATTTGTATTTATTTCTGTACAAAAATGATTTTTAAATGTTTCTGAAATAAGTCTCTTATGCTCACCAAGGCTGGATGCAATTGATCAAAAATACAGTAAAACAGTAATATTGTGAAATATTATTAAATTCAAAATAACCATTTTATATTTTAATATATTTTAAATGTAATTGCAATTGCATCCATGCTGTATAAAATATAGATGATAGATGGATGGATGGCTAGATAGATATAGATAGATAGATCTATTCTTCATACAGTACATAGGTTAATTTATGTAATGTGTTTACATGTAAAAATGTATTAGCACATGTAGAAATTAACATTCAGCTAGACTGACCTAATGCATTTACTAATGTGATCAAATTGAACCTTCATATATAAAGTTTTATCAGTGTACAGTCCATGAGGTGTGTGTGTGTGTGTTGCACTACAGCTCTTACCTGCCGATCATAGTAGAGTGCTGCTGCACCGCAGCCTCCAGCAATCTCTCCAGTATAGTCCACTCGCCCATGATGCCGCGTTTATAGCTCTCACTCCTCCTCTGACCTTCAGCCTCAGCTGTCACGACCTTTGCCCTCGGCAACTCTTCCAGTGTCCCTCAGTTGACCTTTGATGGGATTCTTGGGGCTCCTCTTGAAGCCGCAGCTGTGTGCGTCTGAGCGTGCGTGTGTGTCAGGGTAGCGCTCTAGTGTGGCGATGAACTAGTGTAGCATCTGCAGCAGAAAATCTGATGATGCTGAGGCTGAGAGACTTCAACCATACTGCATCATGACACACATGGTTTTTGTGGGTGGGTGGGTGTTTATGTGGTAATGGGACTGTAATATTCTTCCCTGGTTTGTCAATATGCTTTATATCAACTGTTAATTTTTAGAAGCCATCTCTTTATTAATAGTAAATCTCAGGGTCTGAGTCTTTAAAGCTCATAATGCAGCCTATTGATTCCTGACCATTTATTTTGCATTAAAGAGAGAGACTGGGAGGAATGTATACAGTTCTAAAATGACCAAGAACATATTTGTATTTATTTCTGTACAAAAATGATTTTTAAATGTTTCTGAAATAAGTCTCTTATGCTCACCAAGGCTGGATGCAATTGATCAAAAATACAGTAAAACAGTAATATTGTGAAATATTATTAAATTCAAAATAACCATTTTATATTTTAATATATTTTAAATGTAATTGCAATTGCATCCATGCTGTATAAAATATAGATGATAGATGGATGGATGGCTAGATAGATATAGATAGATAGATCTATTCTTCATACAGTACATAGGTTAATTTATGTAATGTGTTTACATGTAAAAATGTATTAGCACATGTAGAAATTAACATTCAGCTAGACTGACCTAATGCATTTACTAATGTGATCAAATTGAACCTTCATATATAAAGTTTTATCAGTGTACAGTCCATGAGGTGTGTGTGTGTGTGTTGCACTACAGCTCTTACCTGCCGATCATAGTAGAGTGCTGCTGCACCGCAGCCTCCAGCAATCTCTCCAGTATAGTCCACTCGCCCATGATGCCGCGTTTATAGCTCTCACTCCTCCTCTGACCTTCAGCCTCAGCTGTCACGACCTTTGCCCTCGGCAACTCTTCCAGTGTCCCTCAGTTGACCTTTGATGGGATTCTTGGGGCTCCTCTTGAAGCCGCAGCTGTGTGCGTCTGAGCGTGCGTGTGTGTCAGGGTAGCGCTCTAGTGTGGCGATGAACTAGTGTAGCATCTGCAGCAGAAAATCTGATGATGCTGAGGCTGAGAGACTTCAACCATACTGCATCTCTCAGTCTCTCTCACACACACACACTGGCCACCTTCACTGTGTTATCTCTCTCTCAGGGTGTAGAACGCTCTACCTGCTCTTGCATCGTTCCCTGTGCTACAAATACACACTCTCTACACCTATCTGACCTTTTCTTCCCTTTCCTCCACATGCACACTCAACTCAAACTCACACACACTCACTCACTTGACGGTCACTGCGGGCTCTCTTTTCCCATTAGTTGAGCCGAACACTAAAGGAGCACACATGCAAGAGCACACGGATGATGAAGCGGGTCTCTGAATCTCATAGCAACGCCTGAGCACACCCTCGCACACACACACACACAGACACATACACACACTATCGGCTGTGCTCCAGTGTGTGGCAGCAGCAGCAGCAGCAGCAGAAGAGGATCGTCAAGGTTACGTCCGGTTGACTGATGAGCCCGTGGTCATGTCTGCGGCAAAGGGCTCAGTCTTCTTCAAACCTCATCCTCTCTTTTCTCTCTCTCTTGCTCTCTCTCTCCACACCTTCCCTGTTCTTTTCGTCTTTGTGCTGCACTGCTGTTGCTGCTGATGATACCTTTCCCTCCGCTCCTCCTCCTCATCTCTCTCTCTTTCCCTCTGTCGCATGCTGTAAGCATGCCTTCCTCCCTCCTTCCATCCTAGACCTGCTCTCCTCTCCCCTCCCCTCTTCTTTCTCTCGTTCTCCTCTGCTCTGCTGACTGTTTCACTTGTGCTGCTGTTCAGAATATGCCTGCTGCAGGAACCAAACAGGTTCTAATCTTGTGCACTTATCTCACCATCTTTTCTCCCCCCATCTTTCCCAATAACCCTCAAGAGGGTTATTGGGAAAGGGTAATTCTGCACTGCCTAACTCATCTCTCGCTTCCTCTCAATGTAGTCAGCTTACTATCACACCAATTCTTCTCTTCTGTTCCGAATAATTTTTCTCCCCATCATCTCTATCCAGTATGTGCCACATACTTCTTGGGAATATATGCTAAAAATGTGTAAGCGATAATGTATAGCCATTACTGCAGAAATGGTTTGAGTTTAAAAATATTTTATAACCTTTACCAGTCATGTCATCCTAAAGCTTCCACTTAGAAAAAAATATAGTAGGCTACATTACAATATACTAGGGATGGTAAGATTCAATGATTCATGTCGGTGCATCTGCATAAAAGTTAATGATGCGATGCATCGATTTAAAAAAAGTGTGCATCGGATAAAAGTTGCCATTTGTATCGCAATGCATCGTTTTTAACATATTTGCATTGGTAGCGAAACTATTTATTTATATATAATTAGTAGTAGTTCTGTCATGACAACTCTCAGAGGGTTTAGCATGGTAATGTACATGGCAATATTACTGTGTTTGGTTTTGGCGGAAGAGATCTGCTATGCTGCTGCTGCTGCTGCAGCAGAGCAAGTACCGACTTGCTACTGCCAATACATCCACAACATGCTGCTGTGAGCATGTAAGAAATACTGCTACTGCACATATAACATACATGAAATAACCCCCATATAGCATACATGTAGCAGATCTATACAGGTGGAGCTGGGGAAGGTGGAGAGTTTCTTATGCGCACTGCAACTGCTACAGCAATCACTAGCCAAGTATTTAAATGTTGAGCAGCAAGCTCATTGGCTGCTGATACAAAAGGAACCAATCAGCTGCCATCTAGAGTTTCAGGTCAGAACTTTGGATATGCACTAGACTTTTATTGTTTAGAAAGTGAACAAAATTCACTTTTACTGTATATGTTATATAGATTGATTTATCTTCTCTAAACTGTTTCTCAAGCACATTCTCTCATTACTGCTATGTGAATATGACATATCACAACACTACGGAGACCGAGGAGTGTCCTGAGAGTCATATAGAAGATTAACATGGCAGAGGTAGAGCTGCATCTTCCACCAAATAATGACAAATCCAATGTTTGGAAGCACTTTGGATTTTATAAGAGAGATGGAAATTTTGGTAAAACTAATGTAATTTATAAAATAAAGAAAATATAAATAACAAAATAAAAGTGAACTGTCTTTACCATATTGAATTGCATAGCATCATATTTTTTCCATTGTATTATACTGCATTGATTCACATTAATTTGAATAAACTCAAAATCAGATCGCACTGCATCGTAATTGGGGTGAATCATATTGCATTGCACCAGTAGCTGCTTCATATGTATATTTAATATATCGTATCGTTGGCTATGCATCAAGATGTGTTATCACATTGGCCTTAGTTATGGAGAAGCACATTCCTACAATATACAAAAAAACAACAACTGGATGACCAACAAGATGAACACTGCAACAATATTACAGCAATATTAACAAAAGGTCCTCTAAGGTGATTTTCACTACATTCAAAAATAGAGATGAAAAATGGTTCCAGTTACGTTTGTATGACAAAAACTGATACAGGGGATGTAAAAGTGGTGACTTTTTCAGTTACCCAGAAGATCAGTTCATATATACAGCATTGCTAGGGAGAGTGCTGAATACTGTATTAGGAAATATATGACAAACATACCTTATGTTGTTTCAAACCTGTGTGACTGTCTTTCTTCTGCGAAACATAAAATAATATATTTTGAAGAACGTTGGTAACCAAATTGTTTTGGTGTCATAGGTTACCATTGTATGGACAGAAAAAAAAACACAAATATCAAATATCTTCTTATATGCTCCACTGAGGAAAGAAAGTGATAAAAATTTGGGGATGATATGTGGGTGAGTAAGTAATGACAGAATTTTCATTTTTGGGTGAAATATTTCGTGAAAATTAAAACTGCAGGTAATCACTTTTGTACAGTGTAAAGTCATAGCAACTATGTTATGTTATTTAGGAGAAACAACTTTTTCTAAATAAAGCTATTATCCAATTTCTAGAGCTTGCACCCACATATTTAAAAGGTTAGCCTGTCATGCACTTCAGTTAATTTTCCTATATCTCCCATCTCTCTCTCTTTCTCTCTCTTTCCTCATTTCTCTCACTGTCCATCACTGCGGACACATGACTCTGAGTGCTGCATTTATTTGATTAATATTTTGGGTGATTCCCTCCTCCCTTCCCTCCTCTTGCCCATTCCCTCATTCCACCTCCACCATGTGACTCAGAGACTAGGGCTGTGAAGACATGGAAAAGGGAAAGAAAATTATTCAAAAAAACATTTAAAGGCTTGACGTCCAATCATTTTGATAGAGCACATACTTGAACTGTAATTTACATGAATGTGTATTTGTACGGCTCTCTGTAACTGCTGTGTGATGACTGATACAGCTCAACTGTGTGCAGACATGAGTGTGTGTGTGTGTGTGTGTGTGTGTGTCAGTCTAATGGTAACGTTGTGTATAATTACATTAGTCTTGTACTGCACAGAGAGAGGAGAGGAGTTCACTATCCACATAGACAAGCTGTCATTAACCTTTCTCGCACCCTCACTGCCTGAGTGACTCTGAAATGAAATAGTTAATCACAGAGCAACAATGTCATTATCAGGGGGGAATTATGGGTAAGGACACGCTGACTTTGGCTATGTCAGGTGTTTTTACTCTCATAATGCACACACGCATGAACACTCAAGATGTTAACGGTGAGGAGGTGGAGGAGGGAGGATTTTCTTCATGGTCAGGCTGTCAGGGCTGCTGTTTCAGGGAATGCACAGTTTCAGAAATTATGGGCTGTCAGGTTTTGGGTGGCTGTGAAGCTTGAAGGCAAGAGGCACAGGTGTGTCATCTGTGACCTAGAACAGCTATTTCTCTTTTTCTCTCTCACACATGGGGGTATTCAATGTGGATTCAAAATGGTCTATCTATCTATCTATCTATCTATCTATCTATCTATCTATCTATCTATCTATCTATCTATCTATATGTCTGTCCGACTGTCTGTCTGTCTGTCTGTCTAATTATCTATCTATCGTTCTATCTATTATTCTATCTATCATTCTGTCGTTCTATCTATTATTCTATCAATCATTCTGTCGTTCTATCTATCTATCTATCTATCCGTCTGTCTGTCTAATTATCTATCTATCATTCTATCGTTCTATCTATCATTCTATCTATTGTTCTGTTGTTCTGTCATTTATCATTCGCTCCACCATTCTATTGTTCTATCTTTCTAGCTGTCATGCTATCTATCTATTGTTATATCTATAGAGATTCTGACCCCAGCCTTTTGAAAATTTGTGTATATCTTTTATCATGACTTTGAAATATCATCCAAATTTTACACTCAAAATCACAGAGTTTCACTGCATCCTGTTCATTTTTAAGTCACATTAAATACATAAACTATATAGAGGCCACTCATTTGCTGAGAATGTTCAGGGATGCTCTAAAATCTATGCTGGGAATGTTCCAAATGTTGCAGCAAATATTCACAGAGCCCTCTGAAAACAACAGTATCATTAACACTCAGCAATAGTACATACACACATTTACTTAAAATGACTCTGATCTGCAGATTGTTTTATTTTTTATTTTCTCATATTTGGAGCATATGCAGAATAGTGAGGACCAGTGTTCAACAAAAGGTTGCATATTGGTTTGATTAAATTAATGTGTTTGAAATATAAATTGAATTTTAAGTGTTACAACACAGGCATTTCTCAAGGCACTGAGACTGGTACATGTCTGGACTGCATTTGTTCTCCTATAGCTATTGCACCAATTAAATTACTTAATGGGAATTTTCTAAGGGTCACAGAAATACAATCTAAAAGGAGGATCAACTGGGTTGAATGCTGAGTTAGCATGTGCTAATCTATATGTTTACTGCAATTGAGATTCACCTATAGCCTGCTACAGAGGTTACAGTAATGCAAAGTTAAATATAGTCGGTTTACTCTGCTGGAGTACCAAATCAGGCCATTAGCAGAAACGGGGTTGAAAGGAAGTGGACCTGTGTGCAGAAGAGTAAAAGGGGAAGAACATTTTTATGATTTTATAGTATTAATAATATAATTTCTATTTAATCATGTCTTGAATCATTTAAGCCTACAAAAGTCAATCTCATGAGAATGTCATGAGGATTACAAGTAATCTGTCAGGCTAGAATGCTAAATTCTATTAACAAAATTAATTAAGCATGAAGAAATTTAATGACTCTAATTGTTTGTGTTGCATGAGTGTGTAACTATAGAATATTAGAATTATTGACATTTAATTGATATTCATTTCATCCCATCAGTTTAACTTTGAAAAGAGACATGACAATGACTAATTGCTATTCATCAGTGTTATCAGTGAGATACTATTATAGTTTTTAAGTTAAGTTTTAGTTTGTTTGTTTTTTTATGGTTTTAGTTTTAATTAATAACCCTGCAGTAAAGACATATTTTCATGTAAAATCAAGGTATAGACTCCAATAGAAGGTGTTAGTTTAGCACTGCCGTGGAAATGGAAGCACACACAGGTCAAACACTTTGTGCTTTATACACACCATAGATTAGCCATCATAAAAAACAAAATTGCCTACATACGCAGTAGTAATTTGAGAATACCAGACTCTGTCTACAAACTAAGGACACAATCCACAACTGTGTCTCTGCAACCCCAGTGTTTAGCTGTGAGACTACAAGAACAAAGCTTTGTGTTTTTAAAATATGAATGCTGGCGGGCAAGATAGAAAC